CTCGTCAAAACCTCGTTAATAGTGCTAGTAAGAAGCTAAATTAGTGCTTTGCTTGAAAATTTACTGTTAGAGACCTAAATTATTAATAATTTACGCTAAATCTAGGATATTTTGTTGCTTTCGCAAAAATGTAAGATTTCCGCAAAGTATATATATTTAAAATAACTATTCAAGTTAATAAAAATATACTATTTGATGTATTTTATTCACGTTGATTTATTGAGTATATATAAAGAACATTTTTTAATTTAATCATTTTAAAGCTATATGATACTATTTAATTTATTCTCATCATTTTGCCGGGGAGTATAAAATTATCTGTGTTCGATTAAAAGCCACATAAACAATGTAAAATAACTAATATAATACAATTAATAATTATAAAGAATTTCAAGTTATGGAAAATGTACACATTGTAATGAATACTTGGACAGCCTGGTGTCAGACATGTGATCCTGACATGGCAAATTCGAGAAAGGACAAGTAGAAATGGTATATCGATAACTGCATCAGAGCGTTTCAATTTAGAACTAATAATTATGAAAAATGATTGAATGGATTCTATTTGATAGACTAAAAGAAAAATTAGTGAAGGAGGATTTGGCTCTGTATTTCTGCGACCTGGTTATATGGCATGTAAAAGATTAAAAGGTTTATAATAGTGGTGGGCACCGATACGTAAGATCGCGTGAACCATCTAGCTACCTTATCTGGTTCAAAGGAAAATCCTCGTGATTTTTGAAAGAGGTCATCGTACGGCTTATTAAACACATATTATATTATGTCTTGCCTTATGTACACCAGAGATTTTATTATGTCAGAAATGACAACTGGAAAAAGACCTTTTGATGATCGTCCATTTGATCTTAGTCTTTCATTAGATATATACAGAGGATTGCGACCCAAAATTGCTCCTGGAACTCTTGAGTGTTATATTAAATTAGCTAAGCGATGCATGGATTCAGGCCCACAAAAACGGCCTGATGCTTATGGTGTTTGGGGTAAGCTTGATAAGTGGAATATAATCATTAAGATTCGGATGATGCAAATGAAATTAAAAAGCAATTCCTAGATTCTGATAAAATAAGCAAAGCATTGATAATTATCTCACCAAAATATCCAGATTCTATGTACTGTACGTTAGCAAAATAATAAATACTCAAAGAATATTAAGTGCTATTAAAGGAATTGAAGATATTTATTTCAAAATTATACTATGTATTTATTCATTTAATGATGCTAAAAGTAAACCTACTGATACTGTTGAAGTTATCTTGGTAAGTATTATATTAAGCTTACAGTATTTATAATTAGATAAGTCTATTACTTATTTTATATTGGTATTTAATTATTGAGCTAATCGTTTTAAAGGTATAAATTTATTACCCAGCATTGTGATTTACAATTAATATTTCTTTAAAAGCTTATTTTATTTATTTATGATTAAATCTTATGTTATCTTTTGTATATTTTAAAAGTTTTATATGTAAATACAAATTTAGCTATTTTGGCAAAATCGTCTATATGAACCGGTTGGTTACAAAAGCCATTAGCATTTAATTAAAAGTTAGCATATGTTGCTATTGACATACATACCATTCCGAAATTATGCACTCAAAATAATTGATAAAAATGACCGGCATAGGGCACTTTCGAATCAAATTCATCAAATTTCTGTGTGCTAAATAAAGTGTTGATAGACTTCGACTCTAAGTATCGATACATAGTTTTATGCGATTTACTAAACTTGGCCTCTAAAATTTGATCAGTAATTTATTGAAGCATTATAAATTAATTCAATCATGAATATTGACAGAACCGTTACCATGTGTTTAGCATAATCCGAGTCGTTTTAAAATATTAAAATCATCTAATTTGATTGTTATGTGATGTCGAGAATATCTTTAATGTTATGGTATTAATTGATAGGTACTGTAGATAACCGAAAAGAAACCATCTTGTATCATAACATGTCGCCAAATATGTTGATCCGATTCTATATCTGTAATATATAATAAAAAATAAGTTAGCAATATATTATAGCAATGAACGAAATCTAATTCAATAACCAGAAGAATCTCTAGAAACTAGAAGCAGTCAAGCAGACACTTGGAAGTCAAAAAGCGACAAAGCAGAAATCCTGTGAGTAAGTTTGTGTTCAATATACTGAGTCTACCAAGAATCATCAGCCATCAGGAAGTCTATTCAATATTTCTAGAGAAGTAATCTCGGGAAGCCTGGTCCAATATACCATATGAGTGACGCCAAAGGGAAATGGGACATTGGTTTATCATTTATTATTTAAATAATAATCAACTATAAATCAATGTCCCATTTTCCCTTGGCGTCACTAATATATGACAACTGTTCGACATATTGAAAAACAACCAGAAAGAATTAACTAGCAGTAGCCTATCTACCCCAAACCCCTCTGATATTGCTTAAAGGTTCTCAACGGACCAATAGAAATCTGCCCCGAAAGTCCTCCGAATTATTGACTCGTAAGAAAAAAACATAACTAATTCCTTCTCTTGGAACAGTAGACCCTGCAAAAATCTCTACTTGCCTTGGAAACGAAACAAAGTTTGTAATTCGTCCAACAACAATTTGATTTTGTCTATCCATTGTTTTCGACGGCAGGCCAGTGGAAAGTGGAAAAAACGAACCGGTAAGAAAATTCTAGCTGATTCAAATCATTCTTTCTAAACTGAACCCTTAATAAACTCTGTGAAAACTAAACAAAAAAGCCTTAAAACATTTGTAAATTTTATTAATAATTCGGATTAGAAATAATAAATTTTTGAAAACTGAACTTTTAAAAATTTTTACATACAGTATAAAAATGACTAATAATAATTTGCAGTCTGATTTTAATACAGTATATAAAATCATACAATCAAAACAAATACGTAAATCAACCAATCAAATTATATCGAAGTTCGGAATTTGTTATGCATGTAAGATCTAGGGCGTTCTCAAGAACCGAATTCAATAAAAAATCTGATTGGCTAGACTGACCAATCAGATTTGTTATTGAGTCTATTGAGGTAGGTGCTTTTGAGAACAGTAGTTGATTAAAATAATAACTCCAGACGGGTGACTAGCATCGGTATAACGAAATACCCGATCTAACTGATATCTATTGAAACATATATCCAGAATTAGACTATTTTAATGTCTGATAACGTCTAATACTAAATATTCACTACATTTACTATCGCTATATATATATGGGCAGATTAACCTTTCTTTTGATCATATCGATATCATAAGTTAATCAGGTTTATTTAAGGTTGGTTCCAACGTGATTACCAATCATTGGCGGACTTTAAATACTACGTTGGAACTAACCTCACTCAAATTTTATTATTTAAATGATTCAAAATCCCATAACTTAAATCATCGAAACCATGCGAGAGCTCACCTCTGAAGAAATCAAAAAACTGGTCGAATTGACTTTAAAGGGTAATCTTGTATATTTAATCTTGTATATTTAATCTTGTATATTTATTATTAACTTAGCACATTTTTTTTCGCACATTTTTTGTATTATTAGCTAAGGAATTCGCTTATTGTCCCTATTCTAATTTTCGTGTCGGCTCAACAGTTTTCGGTGAAAATGGAATTTATTATACAGGTAAATACATCTTCGTAACAGTCATGAGATTTATCTGAAAATTGCATAGTTGTAATATTTTATAATATTATATTTGCAAGGCGCTAATGTTGAAAATGCCTCCTACAGTAAGCAAGTGTTGTACCTTGAAAAATACCATATATAGAATATATATAGATCAATTGCTTTTATTACTCATAGGTGGTGCCATCTGTGCAGAACGCGTCGCAATTACTAAAGCGGTCGTAAGCTCTCATACATTTAACTTGATTAATGCATATTTTTCAAATTCAATATTTAATTTCCCTAGTAACGATACATTTAATTTCACAGAGCGAAGGGCAAAAAAAATTTATTGCGATAGGTGTATGCACGTAAGTACGAGTACTTATCTAACGTTATTAGAAATTTAAAAACTAACTTTCATTTGTAGCGACGTTTCAGGAGAATTTACAAAACCTTGTGGCATATGTCGGTAACTTTCAAATTCCTCTTAATCTTACTTTTTAATGTTTATGACGTGACTTTATATACGTTTAATCCTTTACATACACTTTTTTTTAGACAATTTATGACGGAATTCGCAACTGATCTTCCAATTTACCTCATTCAACCAGATGGATCTTATATTGTTGATAATTTAAAAAACTTATTCCCTGATCCTTTTAAAGTAAAAATTCTTAAACTTGAACAGCATTAATAATGATAGGATTAAATAACATTAATCTACTTTTTGAAGCATGATCAAATTTGGGGATGACTAAATGGATTGAAATAAATCTTTTGCATAATATTCAGAGAAATTGACTAAATATCATTAGAATTCGGTTTTGCTATCTTGATCGTACGGACCATATAAATATAAATAATTATCCTATGGTCGTACCAGTAGAATAACTCGAGTTATTGTTTTTTTGATGATTAAAAGTTAAGGTATAAGGTATTATTAATATCTGGTAGCTATTTATTATAACACTATTTAAAACACGTATAATATAATATTTAAAATACAGAACAAAAATGCTTTTTTTTATAAACAAAAAAAAATTGTGTAAATGAATTAGTTAAGGATTGTCTAAGTTAACACGTAACTAGTTATTTAGCAAAACTTGCGGTACAGTTCCATTTTCAATATAATTCAAAACTTCATCAGCTTCAATCTCAACTTTCCAATCTTTTTTTGCTTCTCGCAAAACATTTTCAACTAATTTTACCAACCTAAATATCCCACTATTATAGATAGTTTCCAAACCTTCTGAACCTCCTACTCCTAATCTAACAATTTCACCTTGTAAATCATCAATTTCGAGTTTATTTTCAAATCTAAAATCTCTAAAATCTTTAGCCATTAAATTTATACCAAATTTCATAGACTCTTGTTTAAATACATTATCAAGTACAGGTCTTAATATCCAATCCGGTGTCATTAATAGATATGGAGTAATTTGCAATGGTAATGAAGAATTCATGGCAGAAACAGGTTCAATTCCATGATGTTTGAATACCTCTAATGCTTCCCATTGACAATATGCATGTATACGTCTCCAACTCTTATCCTTAATATATTTTTCAAATGGTAATCCACTTAAATATACAAGAGCATTACCAAGTTTTAGTATGAGCTGACCGTACATTACATTTTTTAAGTTTGAACATAGTCGTACGAATAATTCACTTTGATGAAAGATTTGTTGTAGTTTTAATGATTCTGGTGTTGATTGAAGAATTATAACACCATCTGACGATTCTTGAACAAAATGACAGTTTTGAGATGATGTAATGTTTTGGAGTATAAGGCCTTCAATTATTTTTGTGTTGGGAAGGACTACACTGATAATGTCAGAGTTGAGAATTCCATCTTGCATTGAAACAATCTAATTTAAATAGAAAAAAACCAGACGTTTGACTTTCGCAAATTTTTACTAATAAATAAAAATTATATTAATCCATAATATTACTATATTCATACCACAGTTTTACCATCCAAATTCACAATATCTTTCAATACTTCAATGGTGCGAGTTCCTTTCAATGTTAATAGCACAAAATCAGGCTTGAACTCTACGATATTCTTCGCATCGGTTGTATATTCTATTTGATTTCTAGGAATGTTAATTTCTTGCCCATCAAAAATTTTAAACACAACTTTTTGTGAAATATTAAGATCATGAAAAGGATCTTGGTGACCAACTAACAAGATTCTATTATTATTATCAGGATGTTGTTGGGGATTATAATTATGATATAAAAGATGAGAAGCTATATAGAAAGCGTTATTGTCGCAGCCCAAGATTGCAATAGAAACCATTGTATCTTTTTTTTTGCGCGCGTATTGATAGAAAGAATTTAATGGTTTAGTTATTTGTTTGCTTTATATTTAAAATAACTGGTTTAGTAAGTTATCATATGAAAATCTAAACGAAAAAGTTTTTACAATTTATGCAAGTATTAAACAGGAAGTGATTTTCATTTCTTTCGTAGCATGTGAAATTGTTTCGCAACGACATAGCCATCGAATTCATTTTTAAACCAATTATTTTCAATAATAAATGACGCCCGAGTAAACTTGACCCCGATATAGATAATTTAGATGTATTAGTACATGATTAGATAAGAGACAAAGAATTTACGCACGTACATACGCTATCAAACCCCACATTGTCACATTGATCTTATTCAAATAAAGAAATTGTAAGTTTCACCTTTCTGCGAATATTTAATTTGTTTGGGTAGGTGTGTTTTAAGATAGAATGACGTAAAGAATCAAAAGTGCATGTTGCGAGAATTACTGATACATCGTCATACTCAACCTAAAAATTAAAACTTCTAAAAATTTCAGGTTATATGAATTGCTATAAAAAGATTGAAACAGGGTTTTATCTAAACATTAAGATAATGGAATATCTTGGATCTGCCTAATAGCTTCTTTATTTATCAATAATCTGATACCCTAGAGGCTTGACAAACACACAAATATATTATCACTTAGTCTTGAAACAATTTACCCGTTTTTTTGTGTACAATATATGTAACTTATAATAAGTATATACAGTACTGTATATATTTATTCTGTCGCGTTGCTCCGGATTATTGTCTGTAGATTATTTCTACTAATGTAATGATAATTCAACTACGTATATACAGTCAACTAAGAAAAAAAGGTTGATATACGCATAAGAATACGTACTATGCTTTTTATTACCTTCTATACCGAACTAATATAAATTTTAAAATTTTTATAATTCGTTACCTGTACGCACACGTGTGATGGCCAATCGATCAGGTGTAACTATACTTGTTGGCAAAACCTATGGGATTTGGGATTGGGCTGTGGATAAACCTGGAAAAATAGGATTGTCCATCTATATTTAAAAATCCCATATGGGACAAATCCCAATCCCAAACCTCATCCAAAATCCCAAACCTATCCCAAATCCCAAACTCATCCCAAATCCCAAACCTTATCCCAAATCCCAAACTCATACATAAATAACTATAGCGGCTTAGCTATAGCCTATAGCTAAGCCGCTATAGTTAATTATGTATGGGTTTGGGATGAGTTTGGGATTTGGAATGGGTTTGGGATTTGGGATTGGGATTTATCCAGTTTGGGATTTAGGTTTGTCCACTTGGATTTGGGTTTGGGTGGGATTTTGAAGATTTTTAGTTTTGCCAACAAGTATAGGTGTAACATAACGCGAATTTTTTTAAAGAAATAAATTTTTTAAAGAAACGTTTGTTTAAGAAACTAAAATGAAAGGATAATGAAGATATCACGTAAATTTGAACGTGTTCTAGAATGCATGGTTTATGTTTTACCATACAGCGCGGGCCACGTGCAAAGTACTCCTCTTGATGCTTTTGACAGAATTTAAAAAAAACACATACTGGTAATCGAGAAATAGTGTGAATAAGTATACTTGATTTTAAAGTAACGTTCATGCACGTCCCGAAATGAATGCACTTCTTGTATAGCATATATGATATGTGTACATCAGCTCAAAAAAAATAGATTCTAAAAATAACGCGTAGGGTGGAGTTTGTAACCGGGTTCATTTTACATATTTCAGTTTGTTTAAAACCGGTTTCAAACCCTAGAGAAGGGCTTGAAATAATGTTGACTTCAATTACTCCAATTATTTATACTGTATAAAACTTTCATATGAAATAATTTCCACTACTTAGGGACTATAATCCACACTGTACATACAGTTATATTTATCTTTTGATACAGTATATTATATCCTTTAGTAATTATTCTTCATTTCGAATGAGTACATTTATAATAGAATCATTTTCTTTGATCTATGTAAGTCCAAAATAGTAGAATGTATGTTGATAAGGGCAATGTCATTAACCACTTGATTTTTTTTTTATTAAGAGCTTCCCCCCCTCTTAATATACAATTTTTATTTTTTTCATATATAAATTGATTTTTTGCCCCCCAAAAAATCAGGTGATTTTTGTCACCTCCCTTTCTTTAAAAATGTGGATAAAGCTTCATATTGGTCATCAAGTGGGTTAGCAACATGAGTACTGTAATATGCGTATACAAGACCCGAGTCTATCTCATTTCACCAATTTCTAAACCCTTTTAATAGATTCCGGGCCTAGTACACTCTGAGAGGTTATTTCGTAATTAAAATGTATACACACTTTTTACTTATAATAAGCAGTTAACTATTTGTAAAAAAAACTCATTTAAATAAAAAGATTTCATGGTTAGTAGCCGGGCCTAATTCATGGAGAATCTACTAATTTGAGAGATTTTTGAGGGATCTTGTATACGCACATTTACGGTAGTATTTATAATGTTTCATATTATGCTCTTTTTTATTGCAATGTAATTACATCGTGCTAATAATCTCTTGATAATTTCTTAATAATATAATTTTTTGTTAACAGAGAAAAATTTTACTATATTTCTTGTTCCTTCATAGAGAAAATATTCATCATTTCCTTTCAATAATCCCCCTAACATTCTCTAACGTAGTCCCATTAATTTCACACCATTCTTTACTTTTATTAGCCCATCTCTCCCACTTTCTCCCTTTTTCATCATTTTGTAACCAATTTGTGCTTAGTAATCTGAATTCTAAACACCATCTCGATGATGGTATCAAACACTTTATGCAATCAAGTGAAAAATTTGTTCCCAATGCCGTCGGGCCGATTGGTTTTGTTGTATATGGTGATAAACGGATTAATATCTCATCTCTATCCGGAATTATTTGATTTAAATGTGAAAAAATTGTAACTTCTTTATGGTCTTCAAGAAATTTATTTATTTCTTCTTTAGTACCGATTATTAGAAAACATGAAACTTGGGCTGCGGTTAAAAGGATTCGTGTGAAATTATGAGGTGGTGCTATTAAACGGGTTGTTTGAGGATTTTCCTCTTTTTATTTTTATTTTATTAAATTAATTAATTCAAAGTGTAAAGTATAAATAAAAAAAAAATTTTTTTAAAAATGATACTTGCGAATTAAATATCCAAACTTCATGTCGATTAAAAAAAGCAAAGATAATTAGGTTTGTTTTTCATTTTCGTCATCGTTATCGTTACTGAAATATTGTTTAATTGGTTGTCACACAAATATTTTTAAAGGTTTAGTTTGGGATTCAATTGAATATAATTGGCTAGTTAGGTAGTCATTTGAGATGTAAATTATGCACAAACCGGTCGAGCAGTTTGCATCTCAAGACAATTGATTTTCATTACAGTTGTTTTCATTAATTTTGAATATTTTGGCCGATTCGACAAGTGTTTGATTCAGCAGTGATAAACTTTTAGAAAATTATGGCGAAAATAGTTCTTGCCAACCAACTGATCTTAAAATATAAAAAAATTACGATATAAACTTACAGTTACATATTACGGAGCTTAAATTTATTGCTGACATTAAAATTAATAATAATGATGACATTTAATTAATAATAATAAATATATATATGAATAATAATAACAATTAACGTTGAAATTTTTATTTCTTTGGATATCGTATTATTTTCTGAAATGGAACATACACCTCTTCAAAACTTTGTTCATCCTATCAAATTACGAAACCAATTAATGAATTTCAAATTAATAATAAATCATGTTTTGAAAATGAAAGCCAAAAACGGAAACGTGAGGATCGAATTTTAAACGATATTCACAAGCAAAAAGAAAATGGCATAAAATTATGGATTTGAAGGAGAAAGATGGATCTTGAGCTAGTTGTAGATAATTCCCAAACAGCTAACGAATATGGTTTAAAAAAATTTTCTAAATCTAATATTATATTAATTCAGGTACAACGAAACTCTCAATATCCTTTGATAAAGAAATTTTATGGAAAAATATTCGAACATCAACCCTAATTGATTACACACAAGTCAACTTAACGATCGATCTGGTAAATTCAGAAAACCAGAATATAGATAATGAGGAATCGAGTACTGACGGTAGTGAATCCGAATCTGAAATTTTAAGAAAGTACAAAAAAACTCTTCACGAAGTATAAAAGGATTTTTTTTTTATCATTATATTTCTGTTTAAATAAATATATTTATTAATTTTATGTTTTAGGCGCTTGATTGTCTTGAAAAGTCCAATAATCTTCCCCCCCAAAAAAATGGCTTCGAAGTATTGAATCGAACCTTAAACTTATTCAGAAAATGGTAGATGACATTAAAGATTTCGAACGAGCAAAAAAGCTTCCAAAAACTTGGAGTGGACGTAACAAAAACACCTTTTATTGGTAGTATTAAATTCAAATTTAAAGCTTTATACGTGTAATAAACAAAATTTAAAGCTTTATACGTGTATTAAATAAAATTTAAAGCTTTATGCGTGTATTAAATAAAATTTGAAGCTTTATACGTGTATTAAATAAAATTTGAATCTCGATGTAAATGCATTTTGTACATTCGAATCGAATGTATTTGACTTAGAATTTGGATAGTTAAATTAAATAAATTCTTCAAAAAATCTCGTGATCATGATTCTGTTATTCTTGTGCGCAGATTGAAATTTAAAAAGCGATTATGTAACAAAAAATATAGCGCAAGTTATAATTCCAAACAACCAAGATTTTATTAGTAATTGTCGTAATTGTAATGAGAATTATATATAATTAACAAATCAAGCAAAATCTATATATTATTTTATTATAAGCTCCGATGTTATGAGCATTATAAAGATAGATCAAAAAGAAAATCAGATAAAAATATTGAAACGGTTGATCTAACAACTATGGAACCTTTAGCCTGTTAGTCTATTTAAAAATGATTACAGCTACAGTTGAATTTTAGTTGAATTTTAAACATCCAACTTGTCTAAAGTAACAGCAGCTATTTCTATCGCTATCCGAATTATTACGTAATCGATCATTGCCGAAATCACAAACTTATAGAATCAGCCAATTAATCATTCGATCAATTTTTTTATTAGATATCCCAAAATCTATGAAATCAAACTACGATTAGATGATCTTTCTCTTATGAATTAACTGATTAAAATTTTTCGGACACCTGACTACCATTATAAAACTTTAGAGCCACCGGCAAAATACCGATTTCCTGTAAAAACATGCATCTTTTCTCTTTTTTTTCTAGGCCAAAAACATTGGTTACACTTTTTCATCCAATTTACGTACCATGTATACCTATAAAATCACAACACATAAAAATTTTTCATATCTTTACAAAAACTTATAATCCTTCTCGGCATTATTTACGTGTTCGACAGAATGAAAAACTTTGGGATTCAAAGTTATCCAGTGATAAAACTGATTCTGAAAAAAATTTTTCTGGTCCATTTACAAAGTTAGAAAAATCGCCACATAAAAATATATCTTTTCGTGGTTTGATTTTATCAATTAAACAATATACCATTACTGCTTTTATGCCCAAAGATTTTCATGACTCTGTAACTAAAGATTATTGGGGCTTCACGAAATGGCATTTTTTTCAGAATATTGCCGGATCTGTCACTGGAGGTATTCTTTCTTTAATTATGTTTCATATAATAAATCCATTAAATTTGATCTTCCAGTTTATTGTTTATCTTTTATTAGTTTTATCGACGCAATCTTTAATTTACGCCATGGGACTAGGCGCAAATTCAATCCCTGTGCGTCAAATGTCATTACTTCAATACAGTAATACCGTATAAGCGCGAAATAACCCAACCTACACGTTAATTGACCTGCATGCTAATTCGAATACGCCCATATGCGTTATTTCGAAATAAAAGTTGATTTCCCGAGCTTAATATTTTAAAATAAGGCACATTTACTTTGCATTATATGACCTAGCCTATCAAAGAAAAAGCGAATCCTACTGTTATCGTTATGAATGTTTATCAACCATCTTCATATGCACAATATCTTAGCTATACTGAAATATTATATTAGATGCGCGGTCGCCTATGGACGCTACTTTGAAGCGGTGTATGCCATTTTTAAAGGATCCAATTTTCAAAGCAACGTCCATGAGCGTTATTTCGCACTTATACGGTATGGGTGATTCACGACTGTTGTTACTGGGACAGTACCGTTCTAATATGTCAATTTCATTCGTGAAGCTCGCTGCAGCATTAAATTGGATCATAAAAGATGGTTTAGGTCAACTAGGCGGTGTAATCTATGCTGCATCTATCAATAACCGTTTTGATTCTGAGCCAAAACGTCATCGATTTCAATCGATTGTTCTTATGCAATGTGCTTCTTTACTGGAATTATTGGCTCCTTTATGGCCGGGTGTATTTTTACTGATCGCTTCGATTTCAAACATTGGTAATAATAATATATTTTATTTTTTGTAATTTAGGATCATTGTTTATAAATTGAATTATAAATATAGGAAAAAATATTGCATGGCTCGCTGGTTCTGCAACTCGGTAAGCTCTTAACTCTATATTAAAGTATTTTTCTAATGCATATCAAATCTCATTATTTCATTCAACTCAGAGCACAAATGCACAAAACGTTTGCTTTAAGAGAAAAGTAAGTATATCTAATATATTAATTATTTCTAAACTCAATAATTGCTTACTTTTAATAATAAAATATAAATAGTTTGGGTGATATTACTGGAAAGTCGGGATCACAGAGTACAGCAGCAGGTCTATTTGGTATGTAATATTTTATAAATCTTTCAGTTATAATTACATTAATGAATTTTTCGAATATTTTTGTTGCATCTTTTACATTTTTTTACATTTCATTTTGCCGCATCTTTCTTGATTGGCAAATCAAATCATGAGATCGAATATTGAAACCATCATTTTATGAAACAAAGTGCAGAAGTTAGTTTCATAGTCAATGTATTATTTTTTTTGAAATCATTATACTTGATCTCAAGGTTTGATTTATCTATAAGAATGAGACAAAATGAACAAAGTGCGACAAGTAAAAATAAATACTTTCTAACTTTAATATACATAGGAACTGCCCTTGGTGTTATTATCAGTGCTTCCATTACAACGTATAATACTTCTCAATCAATTGCTCCAATCATTGCCTGCTTTATTCCATTTTCAATTTTCAACATTTATTCAAGTTATTGGTCTAATCTTTATGTGACAACAAATACTCTTAATGTTCCTCGCACGGAAATGATTTTATATGATATGTTGAAACAGCCTGATGAAAGATCAAATACATCTCTACCAAATAAGAATGTCATAAAAGATTTTATACCAACGCCACAAACTATATCATCACAAGAAATATTCGTCGGTTTTTATCGCTCTTCATTTGACGTACCTCTGGTGATTGAACCTGCTTTACATCGTTACACTTCACAGGAATATGCAAGTAACTTGCTTACATCTCTAACACATAAAGGATTCATTCATTCTGAAGAATATTACATTCTTCATGCTCCAAATCGTAGTTCTGGAAACAGACAGCACGTTGTACTTTGGTTTTCACAAAACGCAAAATCAAAAGATATAATTAAAGGTTTTTATCATGCATGTGCAATAAGGTATTTGTTAAAAGGTCATGATTGTTCTAGGCATGATAAAGACTATGACTATGAAAATTTTATTCTTAATATTATGAAAAATTCTCATGAATGGGTGGAAGATTCATTTGAGGTTTTTTTAAAAGTTCTTGTAAAAAAAAATTGGGAGATTGATCATATTTTTTTGACGGATAAAAATAATTATAGATTATCTATAGAAAAATAGTTATAAGACTGTTATAAAGTTTGTTTCTTTCTTATTTCATTTTGTTTTTGCATTCGATATTTAAGCTTTTCGTAGTACAATATCATGATAAATAGAAACTTCGATTAGGGCTAAACATGCTAACAATTGGTTTATTTCACATAATAATACAGCAATGGGTAAATTAATAACACAATTATCATCATTATTATTTTATTTTATTTTGGACGTTGTCTTAATTTGTTTTTTTGCGTATACGGTTTGCAAACATGCTACTGTATTGTATATAACAACAGTCTTTTTAATAAAAAATTACATACACATATTGGAGTACTAAATCACACTAGTGTTGTTCAACACCACACATTTTTTAATAGTTTTACTAATAAAATTTAAGGTTAGATTTCTATGTTAAAATAAAATTAAGGAACCAAATTAGATAGAGTAAGGTTTTTGAATATGCTAAATATTTTTACTTAAAAAACACCGGATATTAATTGTTTAACTAGTTTTTGAAATATAGCAACTGTGATCCAAACATTACTAACATATCTATATTTTTTCTTAAATTTATATAAAAAATTTAAAAAATTTTAAATTTAAAAAATAAAATAAAATTATATATATAAACTTAATAATAATTTCAATCAAAAATTTTAATAGTAAATCAAATTTATTTATATATATGTGTAATCTATTAGCATGATATTTTGGCACTCACTCTCCTGCTAAAAAAAATCAGATAATAAATACACCCCGTGTACAAATAGAAATTCTCTTCTTAATTTGTAGGCTTTTTCTAGACAAATTTGTCTAAAAAATTGTTATAAATTTTGCTTATGATCTACTTTTTAGTAGTATTAGATATTAATAAAAATATAATTTTTATATAATAATTTTATAATATTTAAATATGCATTTATGAAATATATATGCAAAAATAAACATGATTTTATATGCAAAATTAGTCACTAGTGCCAGCTTTATTGTATAAAAATAAAATAAAGTACAGGATAAAATACAAAACACAAAAATTTGTATATTTAAGCAAATTTTATTACAAGTTAATTGATTAATGTTGGTTCAGAACATTATTGAGATATAACCTACTTTATATCATATCAGCAGATTTGTAGATCACCCCAAAATTTTTGACGTACCTAAATTTGACTAGATAGTACGTCAATCATTTGACAGTAAGATTAACCAATTAAATTCGTAGATTGGGTTGACTTTATTTTAGTGCGTCAGTAATTTGACACCCAGATTAACCAATTAAAATTTTCAGATACTATATCGACATTGATTGAAATTTCTTTAGAGTACTGTATAGTAAGCAGCTTTCGCTTTTATATATCCGCGGACCATTACACAATACTAGGTGTGTCGAATAATTGATATACTGTTGTATACAAATAATTTTATTCATTATGTAATAAAAATCCTTTATACAACTTCAGTACACGTCATGTCACTCTGGTTATAAAAACCTAGACAAATGCAAGTATGTATAAACATATATACTTTAGAATTTACCTTGCTACAATATTAACGCGCTGTGTACTAGACCCCGGGTCTACTATAGGTTTTAAAAACAGTGAAATGTAACGACTCGGGTCTTGTATATGATCTTTTATGAAATTATTACCAAATCTATTAAATGGCTATCGTTACAAACTTTTAAAGATAAGTTATTCATTTCATTTAATTTATTTATTTTTATATGTATTAGAATCAGAGCATTAGCAGCTGCACTCTGCATAAACACCATACTAACTTTTTTGAATTTTAGTAGTAAGAAAAGCACTTTGCAAGAAT